GGAGCACGTAATGGTTGTGCTTCCAAGAACGTGTAGCGTGGCATCAAACATGTGCAACTGCAAGTGAACGTTACCACCCAGCCCCACCCACCCCACGGGTGACGTAGCACCAAGTGTGTGTGCAGGTAGGAATGGAAGAGTGTGGCGTGGCATCGGGTACGTGTGCAAGTGTAAGTGAACACTTACAAACCCGCCCCACCGCACGCCAAGATGGATGAAGCAAGTGAGATGTGTGCGTGTCTGAATCACATCTGTCCGTGTGCGCAGTTGAGTTGGATCCGCGTGCGCTCCTCTACCTTTCAGGTTCGTGAAGGTGTATAGTTACACATAAGGGGTCAAGGAGTGCACGTGCTTGGTATGTTGGAAGTTTTGTCAGCTACCAGGTAGCTCCTAGCTTTGCTGTGGCGGAAGTTTGCGAAGATATAGTTGCACAAATACAGAAATGACGGGCTTGTTGTGTCTACTAGTAGGGTTTGCTGGCTGCAAAGGCTTGGAACGTCTGAACTCAGCACTCTGCAAAGTTAAAACTTGGCTGCCCAAGATGCTCCTCTCATGAACGACCTCCCCAACTTGGCACAGTAGAGTGAAACAAATCCAGAAGCTGAGCCGCCCAACTTTGGATGTCAAAGACTTCAAACATCTTCAAACATGTTTTCCTGAAATTTCTTTGGACTTTCCTACCTGTTCATCTCTGCAAGCGGTTATCCAAACACTCCATTGCTGGTGAATTTTGATGCCGTTCGCTGAGGCGCAGCTCCACTTCTTCGAATCTCGCCCAATGAGGCTGGGGCAGCTAGGGGTTGATAAACATGCTGATTCATTATATAGTATTTATTCGTTGCATCTAAACAAGTTCCCGTAATTTTATGATATTCTTGAGCGGGGTTGTAATCTTACCCCCCTAGTCATTAAATTTATCCAGACAGGCACCCCGACATCGGACCCCAAAACGAACTGATTCTAACACTAAACCTCAGTTTCTGAGGGGGCCTTTGTCATTGGGCTCGATAGGGTGAAGGGATCAGGGGTGCAATGATGTTGAGTAATCATGATTAAGGGCGCCATCACATCAATAGTAATATAATTATAATAGATAGTAATAGTACAGTATGATTTCAAGAAATTCCATGATTGCCCTCTACAAATTATTAGATTTAGTAGGGTTCCATTTCTTTTCTTCCAGGGAATTCAGACTCTGGTGCAGCAGCAAAAAACCCGAGCCCATGACCATCCCTGGCCCAAGAGGTGACCCACTCCTGTCTCCTCCATGCATTGCGGGACAATGCCACGGCCAGATTCTTACGGCAGTGTTGCGGGGACAATGCAAACTATTCCCGTCCATTGCGGTTCATTCCATTGATTTCCACAGGGTTTGGATGATGTACTCTAGTTTGTCCAGATGTTTTTGGATGATTTCCAGTATTCATTTTTATGCATTTTTATTCTATTTGTTCATATTTTTCCATATTCTTCCAGAGTTTTCTCATGTTTTCCCACTGGAGCGCCGTGGGATCAGCACCGCCCCGTCCCAGGAAGTGGCTGAGTGGTTTGAGACCATGGATGACTTCCAGCCCAATGCCCGAAGCCCTAGCGTGCTTGATCGTTCTTGTGGCGTAGTAACGTGTATATTAAGTTTATAGTGTTGTGATTCTGTAGGCCTACTATTGTTCAGAGTTCCTAAGTCTCTAGGATGAACGTTTTTTTTTTAAATGATTTATTATCCCTAAGCGGTGTTCAAAAATAAAATCAAGGGGCTTGAGCCCGAAATATTTTTAAATTTATTTTTCAAAAGGTGCTTATCATAAGTTTTGAGTAAGTCAGACCCCTATGATTTTATTTTTGAGACATGGGCCAAGACCAAGAACCAACCCCAATGCAGCTGGTGGAGTAGCTTTAGGTTGGGTCCCTTTGGTTTTATTTTTGCGTTTTGCTTACCTTTTTGTTTTGTTGGAACATGTTGGAACACACCTCTTGTGTTGGATTTGGTGGACAAGACATGATGAAAACAATGGCTATCACGCCACAAAAAAGAAAAAACTATGGATTGTGATTACCTGATTACACCATTCTGCTTCTACAAAGCTTGAAATACATATTTAAAAACTGGGTTTGGATATGTTTGGATTCAATATTTGATAGATTTTGGGGAAAATAAAATCCAAGGTTCCCAAACTTGTAGGATTTTGTTGGGTAGTATGGTTGGAATATATTGAATCTATGCTTTGTTTGGTGGTCACTATTGTTTGGGCAGAAAAGGATGCAGCCAGAACACGCCACAAAAAAGAAAAAAACTATGGATTGTGATTACCTGATTACACCATTCTGCTTCTACAAAGCTTGAAATACATATTTAAAAACTGGGTTTGGATATGTTTGGATTCAATATTTGATAGATTTTGTTGAGATTTCAGATGATTTCACAAACACAGATGCTGACCTTGAACCCTTCAGTTTTATTTCTGGAACATTTTGGATGCTGGCTTGGAACCTTCTTGATTTTATTTCTGGAACCTCTTGATTTTATTTTTGCAAACCCCTCAGTTGGATGACTGATGATACTGATGATTTTCTCTTTGCGCAACATGTGGGGTTGAACTCCCCTGATTTCATTTTTGCATTTTGGGGGTCAGTAGCCTGGGTGCCCTTGATTTCATTTTATTTTTCAGGGGTTCAACCCCATTTGGGTGCACCACAAGGGGATATTTATTCACGTCGCTTCGCGACGGCAACCGCCCGCACCGCATCGTTCTCTTCTACTGCCATTGTTCTCTTCTATTGCCGTCGCTCCGCGACAAGAACCCCTGTGCGGCCGCCACGGTTTGAACGATGTTGTTCTCACACCTTCGCGACCGCTCGTAACTGCCAATGATGTCGGCCATTGAGATCAAAAACATCCGAAAGTACTGATTGTCGGAAAAAAAAACGCGAAGAATTTGATAGCCATGTATAGCGGACCAACGCAGTTCAAAAAATAACGAAAAACATGAAAAAACGGCGAAATTGCTGTTATTTACAGGGTTTTTGCGCGGTGAGAAGCAGAAACCACTGCAAATACCATGGTTTTTGAGGGTCAGGTGGCCAAAAACACTGTAATTTACAGTGTTTTTTTAACCAACGTCAAAAAACACTGGTATTTACGATGTTTTCATTCACACCGTAACATAAATCAGCGTAATTTACGAGGTTTTTGGAAGTTTTGAAGCTAGCCGTCAAGCATGCAGAAAACAGAAAAACACTGTAAAAACCAGTGTTTCTGCTATCACAAAACGACGAAAATCAGTCCGAAAACGGTCCAAAAACTCAAAAATCCGCCTCCGGGCCAGGCCACCTGCGGAACCGCAAAAAAAGATGTTGCAAACCAAAAAATTGAGGTCAAAAAGTTGAAAAACACGGGGTTTTTCACTTTTCGCTTGCCGATTTTGGACGGGCGCGTTCACGAACAGGTGTCTTCCGTACTGTTTTTTACAGTGTTTTTTGAAGGCGAGCGTCACGACCTATCAAAAACAGGAGGTTTTGGCCGAAAAATGGGACCCCCCCCCCCAGGTAAACCTGTAACCTTTTACGAGTGCCATCCGGAAGATCACGCCCCAGCACCTTCGGTGCGGGCGGATTTATGATTTGGATACGATTTCCATTTATGATTTTTTATGGGCTCAAATTGTGGTTATGTTTTTTTTTAAATGGTTTTGGGTACGACTGGAAAAGTCACTTATGTTTTTGTTTTTTATGGTTTTGGATATATATGTTTTTTTCTTTAAATGGTTTTGGATGTGTTTTTTTCTCTCGATTTTTTTTGTGGTTTGGAAATTGTTTTGGCCAAAATCGTACCAAAATCGTAAAACAATCGTAAATTTCTCGAGTTTTTGGCTAAAAACTAGATTCTGGGGACCTTGGTGGCAAATCGATTAAGATCAAAAATCGTATTTAAAACCATTTAAACAAAACATATCCAAAGCCATAAAAAAATCATAAGTCATTTTCCCATCCATAAAAAACATATCTGCAAATCATAAAAGAATCATATTGAATGCTACTTCTGGGGAACGTGGCCCCAGGGCCACGGCAGAAGACGTTGGGCCTCAGGTGGTCACGTTCAACACCGTGATCGATGCCATGGTGCGATCCTCATGGGGATGGGGCAAGCTGGCTGGTCCCGTGATCAACAGCAACATCAGCCAATGGTGGTTCAACCAATTGTGGTCCAAGCAACGCTGTTTCAACCATTGGCTGTGGCAGAAGCCAAGGGATCTTGTGAAAAGATGATCAAGCATGCTTCTGCCAAAGGATCTCGCAGGCCCAATGCCCATCACCCACCTATGTTGCGAGAGAAGAATGGCCGAGGGCCAGGTACTTTGGAACTGCCTTAAGGGAGTTGTAAAGCTGGGAATGCAGGACCCACCGCACGACCCTCAGAGGCCCGTTCTGGCGATATGGAAGCTGCAAAGAGGTATTTCCAGTTCGGGCGGCTCAGCAGTTTGGCCCAGGCTTGCTGGGCTCCCTATCATTTCATTGAGACATATTGAGACAATGGCTGATCATTTGCATGGAAACCCAAGGTGCCAATTTGGACGCATTAATGGATTTCTCTTGCCCTCACTGGCTCAACAGCACGCTTGACGTGGCAGCATATTTTACCTGGGGCAGGCTAAGTGATGCCCATGGTGAGATATGGTGATTAGGATCCCTGTAAAACAGGACAACTCCTGCATAACGAAGACACTTGCAGCGAGAGGCATGCCTGCTACCCAGACAATTCAGGCAACCAGAATGCAGTTGGAAGTTAAATGCGGCCATGGCTGGTATTGCAACAGTCTGGTCTAATTCAGGGACGAGCTGACTCGATGGGGAACATGTGCCCCGGAGCTACTGCAAATACTCCTGTAATGCCCTCTAGAAACTATGGTTTCCAGATGTTTCCAGTTCGTTTCCCCAAGTCGACCCAGTGTTGGTCGTGTTGGTATGCCATGGTCGACGAGCTTTGAGCCGCGCCTGTGATCGCCATGGATGACGAGAAGGATGCTTTGGAGGTGGGGAACCAAACATAGCCATGGACAGTCCAAGGAAGCATATACAACTAAACCTAAACCCCCAAAACAGATATATAGAAAGGCAGGATAGAAAGGTAATTATTCACCGCCATTATTGTAGTAAAGACTTAGTCAGAGTTTTCTTTCTCTTTGTTAACGTCATCAGCAGAGGCCATCTACCAGGAAGAGTTTGAGATCCTGGCCGATGGCACATGGCGGATTGGCCTACCTGAGCACGGTTGCAAAGTGAAGGTCAAGGTGGATTCAAGATATCCAGACACCTGGCTGATGTGCTGGGCATTGCTGGGCAGTGTTTTTTTCCCCCTCTCCCTGAAGTCAGATGACCTATCCTGATTTTGCAGGGGAAGGAAGCGAGGCCCCAACTGAACATAACTGAACATCTAAAATGAAACCAACATGAACAAAACGCCTCATATCACTTCGATTCATAGCTACATTTTCAGCAGTTAGCTGCCCAGGACCAGGCCGCCCCGAAGGCTGCATTGGAATTTGACCCTTGGCCTGCGCATGGCACTGCCCTTGCTCAGAGGATGGAGATGGAACTGCCACCCCTGTGGAGTCCAGGTGGTGGATTTCACGGGGCCCATATGGAATGTGAAGACAGAATGCATGATAAACACACACGCACACACACATATATATATACACATGATAAATATCCATCATATAAATATGAACGATTTCAGACATACTATGTATGCAAATGATTTGCTACGGTATCCATGAACCTGCAAATCAGGGTGGCTAAGGCGTGGTTGTTGATATGCAAATGAAGGCGCAGAATGGTTGTTGATAGAAAGCAAGGCGCATGCATCAATGTCATGCTGGACATTCATTGGTGTTCTTGAGACTCTCGTCTCATTCATCAGTTTTGTACCATGATCATGTGGAAGTATGGTGGCTGAGCTGCTAAGCCGCTAAGCTAATGACTGGCACCAGCTCAGAAGTCTCACTGCATTGCTACACTATCACGGTAAATCTCAGGTTTCCTGTAAGTTTGCATCATTTTCCCGTCCTAAGAAAAGCAAACCATGCATTGACCTACTTGGATGATCTTGGATGTGCATCCCAGTTTGCAATTGGATAATCACCTGTGAGAAAACCAGAAACATCATGAAACATATCAGATAGATACCAAGAAGACTAGGTCATGTACTGTACAATAAGCTGAGCGATCATACACATTTATTGCACCAAATCTCTCTAAGACAACTAAACATTGAACACTGTGGACCCGATCTTTCAGATCTCCTAAATAAGAATGTCTAATGCGTCGAATCGTCATGTGACAAAAACGCATGACATTCTTTGATCCATTGAAGATCACTACATGGGCAGCGGTGAAAGCACGGCAGGTGAAAGTTGCATCTACCAATGGGTGGAGCACGTGCGCGAGGCCCTGGCTGCCATGGAAGACTCACCTGCAGAGGCGGAGGCAGCTTCAGTGGAGGTGCTGCGGGTTGGATTCTGGAATTTATGGCCATTAAGCAATAGGGAAACATAGAAAACATATGAAACCATGTTGTTCCAGGTCTAAGTCATATAAGTCATGGGTTTTTGGATGTTTTTGGGGCAATGGTCTGACTTAGCTTCATTTTCTGGGAAAAGACTCAGCAGAAGGCACTGCGGACCTACACGACTGTTGAACATCTTGCTGCTTCCGGGATTTTCGGGGCTCGTATACCGGATTGCACTTGTTTGCATGGTCATGCTCCTAGGTCGATGTAAAAATGCCCGTCCCCGTTGATTTTGCGAGGCACAGGAGCTCAAGCCAAGCAGTGTCCCCTTGTCGCCTGAGATGATGCTTGGCTGGAGTTGATCAAGAAAGAGTTTTCCATGTGAAAAGCGCTTGCATTCTGCCATATTCTGTCTTAGACAAATCTACACTCGTTGGCCACTCTCCATGGAAAAGCTCCTGACTCTCAACTCATACATATATGCACAGAGAGAGAGATATATATATATAGTGTATGTACATAGTTCTTAATCCAAGAACCGGTCAGTTCGAAGAAAAACCAACGTGTTACAGTGAATACTACATCTCTCCAAGGATATATCTATCTATCTATATATATATATTCATCAGATTATTTTCAGGAATATGATTCCCAGGCGCAGTGCCGTGGGCCCGTCCCTGTGCTCCGCCGGCTTCAGCGATTTCAGCGGCGTCTTCGCGGAGAGCGAGCGCGGCGTGACGGTGGAGGTCGGGGAGGAGCTGAGCATCACGGTGGACGGTGCCGTGGGGGGAGGGGATGGGAAAATTGGAGGATCTAAATTGGACATATAGGAGGTAAAAACCAACAGAAACCTTCCAAGACATTCCAGCAAAACAGTTGGGTTGATTTGGGGGGTTCTTATCACGGGGTGATCCTTCGATTATTCTTTCTGGTGTGAGCTGCAACTTTTGTTGGAGGGACCACTATGGCTCAGATCTCCCGTATCTATTTCATCCAATCAGACCGAAAGAAGCCCACACGTGACACACTTTTTCAGAGACACACATTTACATACATGTATACATACATGGTTTCAGTTGGCCCCAAGAACTACAACAGTTTGGTGGAGGATTGAAGGTTTTTTACTGTCAATCGAGATGGAATTATATTGCCCAACTTCAAACGCGAATACCTTCATTGGATGCCCCAACATGTTGGGGCAAGAGAGCTTCAAAGATTCTTACTTTGGGACACGCGTGCTGTGTGCAGGAAAAGGAATCAATGAATGAAATTGAATATGCTTAATTTGTTCAAATATGACTACACATGTGTTTAATCTCACATGTTTAGATCGCCACATCTGGTGAAAGCTTCATTTTGAACCTCACATGAACATCTTGGGGACCCAGATATCCAAGATGAAAACCACTTGTCTTTGATGATCCCTTTCCCCTCCACATCCCCATCCCATCCCCATGGTCAGGTGTTGATGCAGAAGATTTGATGGACTGGGCCTCCATGCAGCTCACAGCTGATCCTGAAAACTTCGGGGCGCGGCTGCTGGAGTGGGTCACGGCACAGCGTTCCGCGGAGCCGGGCTTCTTGGAAGATGACGCTTGGCGGCGCCTGGCGGGTCAGGGGAAGTGGTGATAAAAAAGGCGACACCTTGAAGCAACAGGTACCATGCTGGTACAGGCTGGTATGCCATGGCCAAGCTATGAGAGTTGATGAGAGTTGATGGTCCTTTTGGTCAAAGGTTTGCACATTTCCAGCGTCCATGGTGCCACCATGGTGACACCACTCAGGAAGATACCCAGGACACTGGTCCTGACTTCCTTCCAAGCGCAGATGAGCTGGGGGTGCGACGGGACAGGCCTTTGTTGGTGTACACATGGGGTCAGCCACTATTTGCTTGGCAAACTGTTGGGTTTGGGTTGGGAGTGGATGGAGAGCACGAAAATTGGAAGGGCAAAATAAGTATCTGAAGAACATTGAAGAACAATTTTTAAAAATAATGGTTGTGCTTGGTGGGTATCAAATCTGGGAAGTCTTACTAGGTTTTTCCAATTATGTTTAATCTGTCCCATGGTTTTTTTATGTTTTTTTTTTTTTTAAAACTGAGGTAAGGCACTGCGAAAAGCTGCCCCCGGTGACAGCGAACACAACTTCAATGCTGGGATTCTGAATGGCCGTGGTGGTGGGGCGGATTTGAAGTCCATGATCCCTGGCTAATCCTGGCTGCTACCAGCTAGTCTCAAAAAGCTTGGGACGTTTTTGTGGCGAACAGACAAAGCCTTGCAGGCACATCCGAAAATGCATTCCTCACTCCATGAATTCAAGTCAAGATCATATTCCAATCAGGTTTCCAAGCCCTAGTGGACATACGATCACACAAGCTAACTTGGATCAAACAGGCTAGGCGCTAGTTGATGATGTTGGATGATTTGGAATGATTTAGAATGATGTATATAGATATCTTACGATTGCTTACGATTTCTTACCGATATGCCGATATCTATCTTATCTTTTACTGGGTGTGCCTCTACATGATTTTTTGCCCGAGGAATGGCTTGTGGGATGAGGTGCAGAGCAACGTTGCCTCCTGTGGTCTTTTCCCACGCTGGATCTCGATGGTTTGTGCCAAGGTGGGAAGTCCACTTCCATGGTTGACTGACTTCTGTTTTGACTCACTTTTAAGTGATAAGGTCATAGACATGGCGCAAAGATGAAATACCAGGTCATGGTCATGCCAGGTCATGTTTTTGCTCAGATCAATATCCATCATATCATCGGATTCGGAAAAGGCGATGGTCGCGAGCACAGCATTGGACAAGGAACACCGAACTTAATGAAGTTGCAAGTTTGCTCGTGGCCTTCATCTTATCGCGCTATGAAAAAAGTCAAACAGCCTCATTTGGGCGTGGAGCCAAAAGTGCACCCAGAAATATCTTCGATTTACAATATGTTTTTTTCATGATTTATCTGCAACTGGATAATATGCCATGCCCATGTGCGGAACCAGGTGGAGCATTCCGACCTGAAATGCATCTCCATCAACTGCACCAAGGGCCGGCACCGTTCGGTGGCTGCGGCGGAGATGCTTGGTGACCACCGAACCAGGTAACCAGGTTTCTTGCAATCGGGGGTTCCCCGAAAATCATCAACCCCACACTGGTTCTTCCATTTCTCCCTGGGTTGATAGTAGTACAATGTTGTACATGACGTAGCAGTCTATATAAAGAGTAGCAGCTGTATGGCAGGATGATGAAATCATGCTACCGGATGGCTGAGTCCGAATCCTTTCTGGCTTAGGATTCTCAAGAAGACCTACTATCCGAATGCCACGGTGAAGCATCTGACCATTTATTAATGTATGTTGATGCTGTGCCGAGAGAAAAATGAGAAAAGGTGCAATTGCCAGTTGACAGAACACTGCAAGCAAACATCCACTATATGTTTGATGGTCAAAACTTGGGTGTATTGCCCATTGGGGGATGTCATCAATCTATTGACAGGGATTTAGATGATATTATATAATTACCCATTAAGACTAAGATTGCCGTTATGGATTACCATACCACATAGACCGTTCTTGACCATGGCACGGATGGATCTATGTGGTAATGAGTCACCTATTGGATCAATTGAAAACATTGATTTCTCATTGCCTCTCGCCTCGCCATTTAAGTTTATCACAGGGTACCTAGGGGCAGACTGCATTGAAGACTATGCACAAGTAGATTTGATCCACTTCATGTCAACTTATGTCAACTTATGCATGTCCCACAAGCACAGATTGCTTAGGCGTTTGTGTGTGGGAACTCAGCACCATTCAGCACCTGTCAGTGGCCGATCAATTTTTGTTCAGAGAGGAGAACATTTATGTCACTGGCCTGTGCCTGTGTCCACTTGAATGATCCCCGAATTAGTGATTAGTGTTGGGTCAATGAAGTGGAAACTACATTATATCCCGGATATCCCTAGGGATCCCCGTCGTTGGCCGCGTCAGGTCGTATAGGCCGGCCTGATGCAGCAACCTTTGGAGCATTGATCAATGGCGCTGCGAAGTGGGGACCTTAGCGGAGCCGTTTGATCACCAGCTTGATGTTAGTCATTGTTAGTTTGAGCAGTGGTTGGGAAGTAGCCCAACTGCAAAAGTTGGCTTTATCGATCATGATTCATGATTCATGATGTATTTTTTTGCTGCCAGGCTGAGTCTGAGTGGAGTGACGCAAAGGGGATTCCTAATTTTTTTAAATGATAGCTACTTACGACTGGGGGCCAGTTGGGGGCAAGCCCAAGATGAGGGATGACACCAGAAACTGAGGCAAGGTGATGTGGCTCGGATGCAGCTGGCCAGCTGGAATTGCCATGGGGGGTATCAAGCAAATTGCACCAACTTGCATTTGCAATTGCTTTTGAAGTGGGCGATCATTTGCGTCGATTTACTTCAGTTCTATCAGGTTGTTTGGCTCTCCGTGCCATAAAAGGTGCCACTTAGTGTTCACAAAGTAACGAGTCGATGGTCCGCTTGGCCACCTACCATGTTTCCGATAGGAAAAGAAGATCAGAGATGAGCGATGATGAGCGGGTTGAAAAAAGGTTGAAAGAACAGATCAGAAACTAAAATGTTATATAGAATGACGGCATTGTAGGAAACATCATGCCGAGGTGGACGGTGCAAAAGACTGGATGGAGTCCTGCTGACATGGTTTGATCATGTTTGATCATGCTGTCATGACTTGATCATGCTTTGTCGCTTTTCCATGTTTTTCCCTTCTTTTTTTTCGAAGTTTTCTTGGGTCATGCTGAAGTCCAGAGGATGTTTCGACATGCTAAAGGCGTAGCTATAGGGTTTTGGTGATGAGCTGATGCTTTGTGCCTCCACGTGTCACAGCAGGAAGATGGGTGAATTTGGAGCTCCGAGCCTAGCAGAATCTAGCAGATCAGTGAGAGCAGAAGTTCACTTTACCAGGGGTTGATGTGGCTGTGCGGCTGATTGCCGGTATGAAGGTGTCGAATGGATCAGGTAGCAGTGACCACATCCATCCCATCATCCTGAGGTCCGTCCCAACGTGGTCATTTGGAACGTGCGCATCTCAGCGCTCCAAAACTCCATAAAACTCCAAAGGATCTGGATTGAGTGCCCCGGCAATGACATGTCTGCACCGTGCATGAGGCATTCCTCAAGGCGTTCAGACACCGCCCAGCGATCGAAGCGGAGGAGGGGATGGGGGGATCCATTGCAGTCAGAGTGACTTGGCCATGATGCAAACTATGGATTTGCAAGCTTCCTCATCAAGTGGAGGATATCAGATAATTCTAGAATCATAATAAGAATAATTATATATATATAATTATATAATGATATTGTTATTATCATTATTACTATCATATATTTCCTATTTTTCTTCAATTCAATGAGTCTGATGTTTAACGGGGCTGATGTTGAAAGGTTTGTGATGCGAGGCGCCTTCCCGCCCAAAAGATGCTGCCAGGAGATGTTCCAAGGAATGGCCTGAGCCTCAGATCAGACAAGGAGGATGCTCGCTTCCCTTGAAGTCTAGGAGGGGGGCTGTCAGTCTGTCATTTTCAGACAATGACTACCCCATTTGAAATGGTAACTCGACTATTCTTCTAATTTTTCTTGCAGGTTCAGTCGCGGCAGCAGCCAGATGCTATAACCTTGCATGGGGCTGAGCCATGAACGGGTGGGTTTCTGGAATAATTCTTACAAGTCGTTTTTGCCCCGTTGGCTCCCCATTCTGTAGCATCAGTGATTGCAGTTGGATGGCGCTGCGCCCCCACACATGATGGGCAAGCAAGTTTCTTTCACTGCTGTGGCCCAACATCACCCCATGTTATGTCAACTTCAATGTCTATGGCCCCCCAAGTTTTGTGCCATATCTGGATGGCTGCAGCCCATTGATTCATCTCCATTTGCCCCACCCAGGGTCTCGTTGATCGGCTTCCTTGGCAAGTCTCGGGTCACCAGGCTGAGTTCAATTTCTGGGGGTCGTCAATGGCCCTGGGTGGATCATGGTGGATCTTGGTTTAGAGTTGCGACTGCGTGGAAGAACGACACTGAAATGGGCTGGTTGATCAGTTGAATCATCCAAGCTTTGCCGCCGCACTGCTAGGAGTAGCCCAAGACATGCGTACTGCGATTAAACATATATTCCTAGAAGAAAGGGTAGCATTGCTGGTATCCACATGGCTCCACTGATGGTGCTGCAATTTTGGCTGTGGATCTGAGGTCAGGGAACTCTGTGGCGAGTTGGATGTAGCTTACGCACCTGGCATTTTTTAGGGGGAGGTTGATGGACCTTTCTGGATGACCTTCACAGGAAAACCCAAGTGAAATCAACTACATATGACTGAAAGTGGCTGATGCAGTGGTCAACGTACTGAAATTCAACGTGGAACCCCGAAGTGGCAATTTCTGGTCGGAAACTGATCTTCCGGTGGAGCTTTTTTTGGTTCGATGTTGGCCCAAGCAAAGTCGCCAACTCATGCCAATTCAAATTGTCAACCGGCCCCAAACCACTGCATTCCCTACCAAAATTCGAGTTCCCCAAAGATGGACAATGCAATGTGTAACTTACACATCGCTTTGCAAGGACAGCATCATCAAACAAGTGGTGGTCAATCGAGACGTGAAGCGAGCAGACTCGCATGCTCAACAGCCTGGTTCCCAGCCAGCTGTGGGAAAGCTGCCCCCAAGGAATGCACCCATATGGCTGTGTTTGCAATTGCCCCCCCCAATTCATTGTATTTGAACCGGTGAATTGGTTGTCTTGACTTGAACTATTGGATTTTGGGTAATTTGATGTACCTTACTTACTTCATCTTCCGATCAGTAAATGGATCACATTAATCATTGTCCTTTACAACTGGGACGTGTCATGCTGCCATGCTAGCTCACTTCCCTGGGTCATCCCAGCACCAAGGTCCGAACAGTACCGCCGCCTGAGTCGCTTCTCCCTCCGCGCCAGCAGGGCCAAGGTGCGCACGCCATGGCATCGGTGCCTTTGGCTGTGGCAAGTGGTGGACGTTGAGGATTTTCCAGGTTTGAACATGGGGTAGTATGCTTGTAAAATGGCCCAAATGGATCAAAATGGCCATAATCATGATCCAAAGCCATTGTTTGGCACTTTATTGCATAAAACATTAGGTATGTGTATATGAAGTCTTGACATGGTTCGTACCTGGAAGCGGCCAGTGCTTGAGGCTCCAGCTTCAGCAAGAGATGTCCAAGCAGAGGAAGTCCAAGGATCGGTGATGGCATCAACACCTGGAGGATCCTCGATCAATGAGCGACTGGCAGGAACTGGTGAAACCTTCAGATTGGATCAGATTGGTACGCCACCAATGGTGAAATCTGCCAATGGTGAATGTGAAGACTTCCAACGACTCAGCCTGCAAGATGTTTGAGTGCAATACTGATGGACTGCTTGCCGTTGGCCAAGGATTTGACGCGTCAAAGTGGTGCTTCAGAAGCCGGTGAGGGACGTGGAAGCCGACCTCTTGGTGATCCTGGCCGTGGTGGCGACTTCAGCACCAGCGGCTGCGTTGTCTGGCCGAATGCCCCGTGAGATGTCAATTGGTACGCGTCGCAAAGAGCCAAAAGACGGGAGTCCGACTTAGTTTTTGGATGTTGGTGAGTGAAAATGGATGTTACCACCGGCATAGCAACAGAAACTTAGATGGCGCAGGATTCCAAATGCAGGGCTGGGTTGTCATATCTTCCTCCGTGGCCATTTGCTGCCTCAAACCGCGGCCATGTGACCAGCCATAGAGGCCACCCAGTGCCTTCATATCCTTAGCGTAAGCTGGGGGGGGGTATGGGACTCATTCTTATTTTATTATATTGTTTATCATTTTTTGTGGCAGATTCTGGGTATAACATTTATCAAGCTTAATATAGAATTATAGACATGTTTTCTTTGGGGGTGGTAGCATACAGTACAACGTTGAAGAAAAGCACAACCCCTATATATATATATATATATATAAACCGTAATTAAACACACCCTAAATGAACCCTAAACCAACCCTAGATAGAGCTGGAGGGTAGGTCTCATCCTTCTCATGTTTAGATGTTTTGTTTTCTTGGTGATTTTCTTACCACTCTTCTTTTGTGGCAGATTCTGGGTATGTAAACATGTTTTCTTTGGGTGGTTGCTTTTCAGCAATCATTTAAGATTGAGAACCATTTTAGATACCAGTTCGGAATTTGAAACTTGCTTTATAGACATTTCACACGCACGATCTAGGAGTTTCCAAAAATCGGGGTACCCCCAAATCATCCAAGTCATTAGACCATTTTAGCATTGAAACCAATGGTTTTGGGGTACCAGCATTTTATTTTTTTTAGGACACCACCATATATATGTATATACAATATATATAATATAATATATATATAAATAATGTATATATGTAGATTCTCCATGCTATTCTCCCACCAGCCGTTTGCTGCAGGCCACCAGGCGCCAGGCGCCACCGTTTTGGCGATGGCAGACCGTGGCAGGGTCAGGGTGCCCGGGGTCGGTGGTATTCGGTGGTGATGCCCTCAACACATGGGCAAAATATTGGCCGAAATGGGAAGCTACCCCGGGTGCCCCGCAAAACGGTGAAATAACATATACAGTATGATAAATATAATATAAGATAACTAATATATTATATTATAAGATAATATAAAATAATATAGTATACAGTAATATAACATAATATATATATAGTGTAATATGTATACTAAATCTCTATACTGTAGCCGTATAATGATAATAGCATTTAATGTAATTGTTAAATTGGTTGGATAAAGGGGGACTGAGATCTGATGAAATTTGACCATTGAGCGTTTTGACCATTTCGGATCCATCCCGGCAAAGCCTGTCCCCGAGGTCGGCTCCCTGGTCTTCAGCAGCAAAAGCTGCGCGGAGAAAGAATGGCCCTGGGCTCAAACATTGCACAGCCATGGGCCCACGAAGTCGGCAATTCCCAGGATTAACTTACCAGGTGACCAAGTGTAGTGGTAAAAAAACATCAGCCATATCCAGATGATACAGTAGTAGGTTTTGGATGAAATGTTCAGTTCTAAGATGCAGGAACTGCGGGACCAGTGATTCGTCCCCTTTCAAAACCTCCCCGCAAGCAATCAAAGTCGGCTGCTGGTGGTGTGGTCGATTTGGCTCAAATTTTAGCGCCAGTCAATTCAGAGACGAGCATAGGCCGGCTGGGTGGCGGGAAAGAGTGACTACATTGCTCTAACCCTGGATGCTAGAACCATCCTTGACATGGCTTGCAGTGCCGCTTCAATTTGAATGGAAGGTAGTATCACGCAACTGCTGTAGCAGTGTATGAGCATGAGCTTGCTGAGACACAGCCATAGGCAATAAATCAACCAAGTGACAAGCTGCATGCCTTGGAGAGATGATATGGCATTTCCAGGAAATCATCATCATCTCATCATATTTCATGATATGTCATCCACCTCAGCTTTACGCCTGACACTGGCACTTACATGCACTCACCAGGTAGAGGAGTGGTGTAGAGACTATGAGCGCCACGGATCAAAAGATCTCCCCGGATGCCAAGAACGCAGCAAAGCCGGTGGAATCCAAGGAGCTGGCGAAGCCGAAGGCCTCCAAGCCACGCCTCTTGGACACGTGATCCACACCTGAGGGTTGGTTCAGCATCATGCTAGGTATGTTACATGTTTAATGTTTGGCCATGTTTAGCCCATCTTGGCCCCACATTTCATCTGCACCAACAGCACCGCACCATGCCGCACCAAGGTATCGACTGCATCGATGGATGCCGCTTCGCCCTGGTCTTCCCCATCGTGGTGGCGCACTTCGCGAGGTTTAGCACCAACAATTTGACGGCTCTGAAACTGTTGACACAGGAGATGGGGCTAGCAGCCAGGGGAGATGCCGGTGCTGGCTGGTCAAATGTGGTCAGAATTCAAAGGCGATGCAAGGTAAGGTAGGGCAGTTCGATCGGGATTTGGTGGAACTTTCGGAAAAAGATGAAAAAAGAGAAGGCTGCTGTTTTTGCGCGGAAGCAGAACTGTTTGAGACAATTTGTTAAATTGTAACATACGCACCAAGCGAGAGAGCCTGCCATGAACTAAGGAGCACAGGAGCACAACTCAATGTGACAAAATCACATTGTAACATAATTTTATAGAGTCGAACATGGTTGGGCCTCCTACTGATCCACATTGCCAAGATGACCCCACATAGGTTCACGGGAAAATAACATTATATACATGTTAGACACTTTGCAGGAGAATGTCCTGGTTGGTGGCTTCTTCGTCATTTCAGGTTATGCCCCTGGGCTTGAGCTTTGGTGTTGAGCAATGTATCTCCCCTTTGACTTACGCCACCCATTTCAGATCTTGCACATTGTTTTACTGTGGTTACTGGGTTGGCCGCGTTAGGTTTCCTTGGATGGTTTCTCTTCAAATGTCCAGGTGGCATGAAGAATCTTAGCCATGCTGTTTAGGCTGTGCCAAATCATCGCTAGCCGCCAGCATTCCCGGTCGGGGTAGTGAGAATTTGGGGCTTGGCTTTGATTTGTCCATGGTGCGTGGTAAGTCCCCCTCAATATATTATATTCAGGCGCAACCTTCCCATTGAAGTCCCATTACTCCCAAAAAAGATATGATACTCCCATATCCTCCCATTAACTATGGTCTTGAATATTCTTGAATGCTGAGGTCTCCGCCTATACCACGACCAAGCTTGGGGCCCTTGGCGTGGAAGAGAAGAAAGTGGCGAATCCAGAGCTTTTCTTTTGGCAGAGGGTCACTTGTTATCATAGCTGGTGGATCTCCCCACTTATCTTGGCGAAAGCCAAAGATACTGGTGAGTACAACTGCAACAGTGGGACAAAGACGGAAACAGAATTGCTGGGATTTACTGGGGTTTACTGGGGGCTAGGTGGCGGTTCTAATTTTTTTAAATTAAATCTCTATTGAATGGTATTTTCCATCTCCGCCCATGATGAGTTAACCCAGATTGACAATATTTTTGGGATGGTTAAAGCCACCAGCCAGCTTTCCTTGCCAATTCTTTGCTTGCAAAAATGGCACCAATGGTTACAAATTACTTGATCCAATATATTGCTAATTACTTACTTTTGCTTGTGCGCGGGCACTTCAATATCCAGGATGTTGAGGACACATGCACCCAGGCACACCCTGATTCAGACAACTTTCATTCAGTGGTTTTGCCCAAGGTGATGGCCTACTATCCGCTTCATTTCCTTTCCTCAGCAATTTTTGCGCCGATGTTCATTTGGGTGGAGAGGAACTTCAACGCGACCTGGAACATGATTGCAGCTTGACGCAACAAAACAAGTGCAGGAGGATGTTTAGTTTTTGGGATGTGTTGATGCTCTCTGTAATACACATATTTTCAGCTTTCACATTTAGCGGTAGGTGCAAGCAGTCGCCGTGGGGCTAGCGGTGGCACTAGTGACACTAGTCCAACAGACTCAGGACGAGATGTAGGGGCCAGGGATCAAGTAGTAGAAGCTCCAGCACTGCAAAGGAAGCAGTGGTACTCCTGATAGCAGGACAGATACATAGCGTTGCCATCCTTCTCATCCTCATCCTCCTCCTCCTGCTATGCAACCTTTTCATCATCATCATCATCATCATCATCATCATCATCATCATCATCATCATCATCATCATCATCATCATCATCCATCATCATCCATCATCATCCATCATCATCCATCATCATCCATCATCATCCATCATCATTCATCATCATTCATCATCATTCATCATCATTCATCATCATTCATCATCATTCATCATCATTCATCATCATTCATCATCATTCATCATCATCCATCACCATCCATCATCATCATCATCATCATCATCATCATCACATCACATCTCATCATCATCATCATCATCATCACATCATCATCATCATCATCATCATCATCATCATCATCATCATCATCATCATCATCATCATCATCCATCATCAATCATCATCATCATCATCATCATCACAATCATCAATCCTCAATCACCATCTCATCCATCATCATCCATCATCTCCATCTCATCATCATCAGCCATCATCATCCATCATCATTCATCATCATTCATCATCATTCATCATCATTCCTCACCATCTCACCATTTCAATTACAACCATTCAATCATCATCATCATCATCATCATCATCATCATCATCATCATCATCATCATCATCATCATCATCCATCATCATCCATCATCATCCATCATCATCCATCATCATCCATCATCATCCATCATCATTCATCATCATTCATCATCATTCATCATCATTCATCATCATTCATCATCATTCATCATCATTCATCATCATTCATCATCATTCATCATCATCCATCACCATCCATCATCATCATCATCATCATCATCATCATGACGATGACGATGACGATGGCGATGGCGCTGACGATGATAACGGTGACGATGATGAAGATGATGAAGAAGAGGATGATCCTCATGATCCTCGTGATCCTGCTCATCCTCCTGATTCTCCTCCCCCTCCTTCATCGCCATGGTCTGATCTTCTGTTTTGACACATTCTGGAACGCATGCTGAAAGGATATCAAAGGCATTTCCGGATTCAACCTGGCCACTTGGCGACCGGTTGTTGCGGATTTCTTGACCTTGTCCACCATGAAGATTGATCTGGCGAGGCCTTCCGCGCCTTCTTGAACTTCAGCATGTTGCAGGCCTGGTTCCCCAAGGAAGCAGAGATCTGGAATCAGCCCACCTGGTTCCTTTCGGCCCTGACCTTTTCGAATCTCACTATGCCCACTTTGGTCTTGCCAAACGTGGCCAACCTCTCCAAGAATCTTGGCTGAATTTGGGCTCGTAGGTGTTCTGGGTTCTTGTCATTTCTTGTCCCGGGTCTTGGAATCAATGAGCTGGGGAGTTGTGTGTGGAGTGTGCAGAGAACAGGCCTTTAGTTTCATTTAACAGGTTTCTTAGTTCAACAGTTCAACTGCATCAAAGTGCATCAGCTGCCATGGCAGGAAGGGTTTGCAGAAGCTCTTGGCTGGCCTGTGGGGTGTGTCGCTGCTGCAGAAGGTCTCCTACTCTGAGACAGCACGCTTCCACAGCAGCAAGGAACACCCAGTGGACGGGAAGGTCATGATGCCCTTGATCTGGAACTTGACTCGTTTCCACCCAATCTGGGCACTCTTTGAGATGACCACTGGCATCATTGCGGCTCGTCATGTGATGCTTGACACTGAGGAGGACAAGAGGAACAAGCCCATGAATCCAATTTGGTTGTTCTTGGCTGCCTATTCCTCATTGGCACTTCGTCTCACGAAGTATGACTTCAACGATGCCATCATCCGTGGAGTGCTCTTTGTGCCACTTTTCACGGAGTTCTTGACGGCCATGCACCGAGATGCGTTGACTGCCCAACCTTCCGCCATCACCAGATTCTTCGGATGCAAGATCATGGCCACTCTTGGTTCCTTAGCTTTCCCAATGTTCATCGTGCACGGACCAATCGGACAAATCTTCTACAAGAAGGCTATTGCCAAGAAGCTGTGGGGAAAGCCAATGCCACATGCCTTCTTCCCCTTCTATTTGGCGATTTGCTTGGGTCTCAGCCACCTGGTGAACGAACACTTCGTGAAGAACAAGAAGGTGGGTGCCTTTGCCGGCAAGATCGCCCAGAAGCTGGCAGGTTGGACTGAGGGTATGCTCAGGGATCGTTGAGCTGTCAACTGCTAACAGTTCCAAAGACCAGCCTGACAAAGCTCTCTATGAATTGTGCAAAGAGGAACAACCGACCCAGGAAGGGTTGTGTTGACGCTCCTGCAAGCACTACTGGTGCGCGGGGTATTTCAATACTTCAAGCATTAAATTTCTGAACTTTGGTTTGAGGAAACCAACTTGATTGAATTCTGAAAGCTGCCGGAGACACTGTCCGGCCTAGATGTCATTCTTTCCTTGAAATCCATTTAATTAAACTCACCAAGCTGCTGTGCCAATGGTGCTGAATCATGCAAACAGCCCTGGCACTATGCTCAACGTGACTATGGCAAGAAGTTGGCACCCTTGCCGGGCCTCCTTTTGGTAAGCACCAAAACAAGCGCCAAAGCTTGCAGCAGCGCGACATTGAGAAGAGTCACAAACACACAGAAGCGATGCCAAATTCCACGGGATTGGGTTACATGAGTATGAACGGGAAGAAACATGAAGCACCAAGTTTTTGTGGCATGTTGGGGTGCTCCATTTTGACACATGGCCGTCATTGAAAGTTCCTTTCCCGCAGCACTCCGCAAGTCTCAAGTCGCACCCACCGTTCTACGCACTGTGGGTTTGGACGCAGGAGGCAGTTGGTCAGAAAGTTGGGGTGTACCCCAAATGAACATTTTCATGGAGAAAATAATTCAACATGATGGAGTACAATATCCCCATTAAATGAGGATTACACACACAGACCAATGCCACCAATACTGATACTGTAATGGCAAACATGAATGAGCATGATGATCAACATTGGAGCACGGGCGGGTTTATGTATGTGACACGACATACTGTAGGGTGAGATTTGGAACCAGCCAGGAGCTGCTGAACATTCTAGCGCTGGAGTACATCTAGAGACTCTAAAGTACTCTAAAGTCGTGCCTTGCATATTGCTTTCTCTCCACTGAATTGTCTATTTTGGAGCTGCACCGAACATGAGCTGAAGACAATGGCATTAACATGGCGTCTCAGGGGAGGCTGCCGACAGATACTCAAGCATAAAAATATTGGACCAACAAGCAATATTCAACCAAAATTGTTCCAGGACATTTTTGGCGATCTTATCCTGTGGCTGGTTTCACATCGCTGTCATTAATCAGAATTAGATATAACTAGTAATTATCATTGAATAGCAAATATCTATTTACAATCTCAACATGTTGCAACCCTGGGCCCAATCCCAGGCCAATGGTGCAGACCGTGGATCCAGACGCCAAGGCGGCACCGAAACCCGTTGAGTCCAAGGAGCTGGCGAAACCGAAGGCCTCCAAGCCGCGCCCCTGGGATGCGCCAGTCACGGATTCACCCCATTTTTGGGGGATTTCATGGCAATTGATAGGGGTTGGGGCGCCACATTTTTGGTCTGAATATGTCTGAATTGGTTGGAGACCACAACATGTTTTTTTGGGGGTGATGACTGAGAAAAGAGGTTGTGAAACTGGGGATGCTTGCACGCTTGAGGATTTGATTCACAAAAATAGGAATCTAAATAAATCTACTTGTAACATATTCTACTGTAACATGATCGTAAACATTTGGACAGAACCCAGAAATTGAGATGCTGGCATGGACAAGCCAGGCATGCTTTCCTGAGGCATCTTGAGATCGGAAGCAAATTCATGTCTATGATAGTGCGCATGAGGTACGGTCAAAACTCTGATAGACCATTTTAGTAGGGAATGCTCACTAAACACTGTGTAGCGATAGGGCCTTCCCCAAAAAGCGACATATCATTGTGCATACAATGTCCACATCTGAAGCTGATTAACACACAATTGCGTACATGCAATACGCAAAATTAGCAATACACCTAGCGATGCCTCAGCGATACCCGTTCAAAAAGTAGCCCCAGACAAGAGAGAACCCTTTCCTCTTTCCTTTTCCTCTTCCATTCCTCTTCCGGAATGAGAGGCGCTGCTTCCTCTTTCTTTCCTCTTTCTTTCCTCTTTCTTTCCTCTTTCTTTCCTCTTTCTTTCCTCTTTCTTTCCTCTTCCGGAATGAGAGGCGCTGCTTCCTCTTCCTTCCTCTTTCTTTCCTCTTTCTTTCCTGTATCCGCAACCTGATCTACCTCCTCATGGTGGATACGGACCTCGCAGTGGCGCGAGGCGCGAAGAGGTCAGGCATGTCTTGCAACAGAGGCAACAGAGCATTAGCAATTTGCTTGATTTTTTTGGTGTTTGGATTAGCAGATGCAACCGACAGCATTGCAATGAATCCAGCTGTGACAAGTCTTGATAGTTCATTTCAGCAAAGCCTACTTGGATTGTTCTTGACCTTTAGTGCAATCGTTGCACTACCAATCCCCGCACTGTGTGCTGCATACAATTGCCATGACCGCCGTAAACTCGTTTCGCCTCTTGTGTGCCTGCATTGGGTTTTGCGTACACGCTTTGATGCGTTGCTTGTGCTGCTGTCCTGCTATCATCCCATTAGCGGGATGCGCTGCTTGTTTCACTGTGAGTTTGCTTTTTTGCGAGCTGATGAGTTGTGCCCTCATTTGCCTCACATTCGCCCGCAAATGCCTGATCGGTTCGACCGTGTCACTTTTGACCTTTGCTTACCCAGTCTTGCACCTATGCGTGTCCTGTGCATTGCCGGATTTGGGCCGGGCATTTTGTCTCCTGGTATTTGTCCAAACAATCCCTTGCCAAGCGAAGAATGATGTTGATGTGCCGAAAAATTCGGCGCCAAAGACGTCGCCAGTGCAGGCGTATGTCCTGGGGCCCTCACAGAATGTGCCATGCCGTTGGCCTTGAGAAGTATATGAAGTATCAAAACCCTGTGAACAATGCTAATGCGTATATCCACAGCCTGCAAGCTATGTGGAGGTGCGCATGTCACAAAACGCAAAAGGAACCAAAAAGAATTTTTGAATGGACTGAAAGAGTTACTTGAAAAAATTGCTGAACCAAATGCAAAATTATGCAAAATTACCACCTCAGAAATCCAAGACATCTGACACACTCTTCGACGCTCTGCAGAAAACGGTGACGCGTGCACAGCAAAACCCTCGGAACTTGTTGCAATCTCTGACTCAGCTGGTCCAACTTGCCACTGATGGCAAGATCCTGCATCAATTGCCGCTGTCAGCCAGATCCGGCAAACTCTCGAAAACGGTCACAGACCAACAGCCAGTCTAGTGGCAATGATGTATGAACAAGCCACCGAACTCAAAATGCTGGTTCAAGCACATGAACTTGCTGATATCAAAGTCGCCGCCATTTTACTCTCGGGCGCTTGCCCTGACAGTTTCGAGAAAAAATGAGTACACGTACATCAAAAGGGTCACGGACCGGAAATCAAGAAATATCCTGTCGTTCCTCTTGGGCATGATCTCCCCACATTCCCAACATGCCAAGTGTCTGCTGCGGCACTCCCAGAGACACCGATACATGCCGTAACGTTGAGGGTCACAATTCCCTTCTGTTTTTGTCGCCACAGCTGGCGCAATTGTCAAAGCAAACCTGCGAACGTCATGTCTGGAATGCCGCATTTGAAGTCGCTCCCTAGCTCGGGGACGCGACCAGCGAAGGGCGACCGAAGTCCTCAAGGGGAGCCCGCCCCCCCCCCGCCCCCCCCTCATCTACATTAGATTGGTTGGTATTTCGTTTCGTGATAATAGCTAACGCCTGTCTGATACGTGCCATTTGTTGGACAATAGGATATTGGATACCATTGGTGTTCCAACCGACCCTAGCAATCATATCATTAATGGGACGGGGCCATTGACGGAGATGCTGGAAATGGGAACAGAACCAATAGATGTGATCGGTGGTAGGGCAAACCTCATTGTGACAAAGCGCGCAATGGGTAGGTTTTTCCGCAGCGTGAGCCGCTGTACGCAAACCACCAGACAAGACAGCAGATTCATGACCCGTGACGTGCTGAGAAGATTGATGGATAGATTCGACGAGAGAAGAGGTAACAACGAGACCAGACTGTCGTGCCACCTGCGCATCATTGCGAGAACATTTGTGCCAATTCTCGAGACGCAGCTTTCGCCAATGCGTGCGAAGATTGTGTGCAAGACGCGTGCACCACAAAGGGGGACAAGAAGTATCCCACGACCCCAAGGACCAAGTGACCCGACCCGAATTATCAAACCGACAGAGGAGTTTGGACAAGGTGGTACGCAGAGACTTGATCAGAGGGGTGTTGTCATTCCAGGGGACATTATGGTGTTTTGACCGCCATTTGGTCAGAGCCACCAGTAAGTTTTGAGCGACGACGAACTGCAAGTCAGACCGATGACCCCACAGAAAGAACTTACGGAGATCAGTGGACGAGTGCAGGTGGGTGTAAGGATGATGAACAGCGACTTTGTACGCCCGATCCAGCATGACATTACTGGGAGAGAGGCCATTGAGAACCCAGCCCCAGGACGCTTTACTGGTCAAGACGAGAGAAGCAAGCAGTGCGCGAAATTTACGCGTGACGGGGAGCACACCGATGCGCCGAGCAATGGTAGCGAGACCATCAGCACGTTTGGTTTCATTGAGAGTAGGAGACCGAGGAAATATGCCGAGAGAGACCCCAAGCACAGTCCCCACCCGAAGAGCTTCCCAACCCTGCTGTTTGAGAGATTCGTACGCATCCGCCGAGCGCGCGATGGGCTGGGTTTTGCGAGCATTAGTGCGCATGCGCGTAACATCTTCCAGCCGTTGCCAGAGGTGAAGTGCGTTCGTGAGATCCTGCATGTTGCGCGCAAGGATAGTACGGTCGTCGATATACAACAAAGTTTTGGCACACGGGACGTGGCGAGTTTGGTACCGTTGGACAACAGACAAGACCAAGGACAACGCAATAGGAGACCAACCGTCACCCTGAGGAATGCCCTTAGAATTGACCAAAGGTTGAGGGTGAACCGTTCCATCAAAGCTACACCATCGTTTGTGATTATCCCATTGATAACGAATGAGGTTACAGATTTGCATGGGAACCCCAACCTGTTCCATGACATGGATCGGAAGGATGTAATCCATGGAGTCAAACGCTTTTTGGTAATCCAGGGCCAATCATAGTCCCCAAATTCTTGGTGCCAAGAAATAATCAAATCCTGAACACTAGGTCCCCCAATACCCCCGGATTGATATGGAACCAGGAATTGAGTGAGGAAGTTTCTGAGATGGGTCAACCGGATACGGGTCCACATACGATATAGAACACTCCCGATACAGATGGGTCTCATCTCAAGTGGGCTAGGCCATTGATTAGGCTTAGATTTTGGTAGAAATACGATTCTCCAATGAATCATACTGGATGGCCACACCCCTTTTGTTTCACACAAGGCATAGAGCTGAGCCAGTCTGATTAAGGCCGGTTGAGGAAGCTCAGCGATCCACCTAGCTTCCCATCCGTCAGGCCCCGCAGCTTTGGAAGACATGTCCATGGCAGCTTTTTTGACATCACGACAATTGATTGTCGGCAAGTTAGGTGGATCCTGAGCGTCCGGCATAGAATTCGGGAAATGGTTCACGAATGTTTGGACATCAACCTGGGGGGTGTTGCAACCGAAGGTCTCGCCCCAAGCCTGCGAGAGAAACTCCACAGCTTGAACAGGGGAGGTAACCACATTGCCACCACCAACTTCAATGACCATGGGCTTGGGAGATTCGCGTTGTACCCACCTGCATGCCCCAGGGATGGTATGCACGAATTTCTTCCACTGAGAAACTCTTTGGTTCTTGGCGTTGGTCTGAATCAGACGTAAACGCTCAGTAACGAGTTTGATGGCCAGCGTTTGATGGCATCACGCTCAGCTTGAGGTACAGACCCAGTGCAAATCAACCTGTTGCGCAGGGGTGTGGGAACTGGTCGTCCTTGGAGTTGTAAAAAATGAGCTTCCTGCAGTCTTCGCAACAACCTTCGGATTTGTCTTTCAGCAAGGCTCTGAAGGGATCCCATGCGGTGAGCTCCAGAGAGCAGTTTGGGGCTTTCGGCCAAGGTTTTTTCGGGACGTTGATCCTGCAACAAACCAGATTTCACCAGCCATTGCTCGGCATCGGAAGCCCACATTTTAAAGGCCGTTTCGGGGTCTTTTAGACCTTCGCTCCAGCGTTGATTCGAAACAGCAACAGCATTCCACTCAACAGGCCCCGGAGACTCCTGATGAGAGGTTTTTCGAGGCTTAGCGAACCGCATGAGCGGGCGGCCACACTTGGTCACCCGGAGATTAAAGATGGTTTGGGCAGTAGAATGGTCTCCACCCATGCACGGCAGCTCCTGAGAAACAGCACCATGACACAAGTTCTCAGAAGCAAAAATGGCATCAATAGGGTGCTTACTAGCGTTATGTCTAGCCACCGCCATGCAGAGACCATTCAGGAGTTTGATTCGGTCGAAGATAGGATCAGAAACCACATTAAGATTACTATCCATAGCAAGGATCCACGAATTGGGGCAATCCCTTTCAAGAAAGTCAATGATGCTTAAAATACCTTCATTACCCTTATCAGAATGATGCCGATAATGAACCACAACATTGAAATCCCGTTGTTGCCCTTGAACACAACAAACAAGAGTCTGGTATTCCGGGGTAATGATTTTCTTTTGAATAGAGGTGACAAAAGGCAGCTGAACTGCCACGGCAACACCACCTCTATTGCCAGCGTTTGACTTCGGAGCATGGATCAGCTGCCACCCTTTGTTTCTGCAAACATGGTCAACCGAAACACACTGTTGTTTAGTACGATTGGTTTCCTGAAACGCAACAAGATGGACACCATGGTGTGCAGCTTCATCCAGAAACATGAAACCATTTGTTCGGAATGATCTGCAGTTGACAGACCACATTTTAAGATTACGGTCAGTGGGACCAGGATTTTTGGCTTCGCCAACCCTGACCCCCCGCAACCCAGTTCTGGCCATAGAAGAGGAAGGTCCTTTGTCGCTGGCTTTACGCACCTTCGGTCTGTTCTTTCTCAAGGCGCGCATGCCAAGAGCCTCCCTGGCTCGCTTTTTACACTGACCCCAAATGGTCTTTCTCTCATCTAATGGGGGAGGTGTATGTTCAGCTTTGCTGCATCCGTGACGGACGATGGCATCGCGAGAAACTTCCAGTCCACAAAGTTTGCACAAATGGAAAGCTTTAACACCGACCGATCCACTTTTTCTCCATGAAGACGGTTTGAGCTCGATGTCATGGGAGCCAGGCCATCTGAGTTCACAGTACGCTTTGTGGTGTTGTTCCCACCGAGCATCAAGCTCTTCTTGAGCCTTGGGGATACGTTTAGGCAGAATACTGAGAGACTGGTTCTTTTGAGTGGTGAAATTATCCTTAGTGTCATGGACATTCTTGAGATGGTAATATTTGGTATTATACCGAAACTTATCATCCCAAGTGACCTCAAACTGACATTGGGGGCATCTCCACCAAACTCCCGAAGCTTCACTTTGAGGGGCCATGGTGATTTTGGGAAGTTTAAGAGGAGGTTTTTCAGTCATTCGATTTTTCCACTGTTGTTGAATTTCGATCCTGGAAAGCTTTTTAGGGGGACCCGAGTCAAGACCAACCGGTTGTGATCCACTGGGTGAGGAGGGTTCCCCTTCACTAGGCTTTTCCCCATATTCAGGAGGGTCTTCACTCCAAACTCTTTCGGGGGTAATAGGCCAAGCGCTAGAACAACTTTGAATGGACTTAGCAGGGGAAGCAGATATCCCAACAGAACTAATCCCGTTTTGTTCATCACACTTTCGTTTCCCTCTAATTCTTTTTAGGGGGGTCGACCTTTAGGGGGAGATCTAGCAGAATCATGCCCAACCCAGCTCTTATCAACCTTTTGTAATGATCCTTCCAGCCCCGGATGATGGGGCAAGGGCGTGTGAACCGAAGGCGTACCAGCGCCTGGCGCGGAGTTCCCCAAGGTTTGAGGGGGAGACACCGGAGAAGGAGACCTGACAGTAGCCACCGAAGGGGTACCAACCGTACCAGGCACGCAAGACCCAGACGCCATGGTGTGAACAGACGGGGTGGGACACGCGACGGATGCGCGGGTAACCACAGATGGGGAAGAGGAGGGAACGGACCTGCCCGCGCCTCGAAGGTCAATGACCACATTGGGGGTTTCTTTCAACCAGTTGGAGGGGATCTTACCTTGATCGGGAGGGACCAAAATCTGATAGTGTTGATCCTTGAGTTGCAAACACAGAGGAACAGAATCCTTAGCAGCGCACGCCACACCCGAACTGAACCTGGGGGCAACGACCATACGGGTCCAGACATTGGTTTTGTGAGACCAGATGATTACGGGGAGCCCGTACTTTTCGGAGAACGCCTGGAGAGCAGTACCTTCAACCCACGTACCAGACTTCGCGGTCTCTTCACACCATTCCTGAAATTTGTCTTCATTGTGGAAAATCTCAGAGAACCATTTGTGATGTTTCCGGACATGTTCAACGACCTTGACACGGACGAACCTGCCTTGGATCCTTGCAGCTTCCTCAGTAACCTTGGCCGGTTCTTTGGAAGTAGCAGTGCCGGCGCACCGGTAAAAGCAATCTCCCTCACCTCCCATATCCCTAAGAGACCAACCTTTGCCAATGGCATCATCAGGATCAGAGGGCGGGTAGAAAGACTTGGAAGGGCTGAGCTTGGCTTTTTTGGCAGCCTGCCGGGTAGGATCAGGAGAAGGCGGGTCAGGGACCGTGGGGGCAACCGTTTGCGACGCACCGGGTTGTCGACGGGGAGACCTGGATCCGTGACCTCGGGTACCTTGTTGATCATCAGTGTCCATTTGATCAGGAGCATTTTGGGAGGGGGCGGGCGCACGAGGGGTAACTGGGGTTTCGGCGGCAACTGCCCGATGGGCGTGGCTACTAGACCTACTTCCAGTTCCCTCATTCTTCTTGGGCTCACCTGATCCCAAAAAAGCAGCTAAAGTCCGAGGAGGACGGAGTTGTTGTTTGTTGGTAGCTGATTTAGGTCTAGAAGCCATTTGAACCTCAATGAACCAATTTTCATCGATTTCGAATCTCCAGATGGATTGCGTAGACTGATCTTCGGGTGGTTGTCCCTTAAAGAACCAGATTTTTCCACTCTTATGAGAAGATTCAAGATGTTTCCAACCGTTATCCATCAAAAAGGCCTGAACATCATCGGGATTCCACGCCCTAGGGATACCAGAAACGGTGATGTTCTTGATTTTTTGGGGATCTTCGTCATCAGCTTTTCGGGGGAAACCCAAACAATGACCTCTGCCAAATCGATACAGAACAGGTTGAGAACGGGTCCCTTGGAGCTGCAACACCCTTTGATGATATGATTGAGGGGGTTCATTGTCATTTCTGTTAACCCAAAAAGGACGAGCTTGAGTGATTCGTGGTTCCCCAACTTTCGAGGCAAAAAGACCAAACTTCCCACTGTTGCTAACAAGATGATCAGCCAACGAGGGTTTGATTTTGAGGAATCCAATAACCTGAGTAATTCCAGAACGTGTTTCCTGAGACCAATTTCCCCCAGTAAAATCGGTGACCTTACCCTTAGTAGCCGTAGCAAGGGCTTGAATAACCGACACAGGAGTATCTTGGGAACAGTTTTCGGGGAGATAGGGGCTGCGAAATTCTGAAGGCGCACAAATCCTAACTCCGGTTCGTTCCACCTTGGGGAGTTTTTCTTGCGCGATCTTGGTGCTTTTGGGGATCCAGGGGGATTTCTTCTTGCTGACCTGAACAAGGGCCACGTGTTCAGTTTGCGGTCCATGGTTACCTCGGGTGGTGCTGATTCTGGTGTGAAGCACCGCAGGGTAATCTTTGGCGTTTCCGAAGAGAAGGGCGGTTAAGGGGGTGGGATCTTCAAAGCTTTTCCAAAGCAAAGAAAGTTCCTCCATTTCCTTACGCGTCCAAATTTCGGTGATGTTTCCTTCCACGGCGTCACCGTTTCGGAGTTGTTGTTTGATTTTGGGGAAGGGGATCAGCTTAGGCCTGGGGTCCTGATCCCAGTCTTCCAGATGCAGGGAGGTGATCCAAGTGCTGTTCCTTTCTTGCGGGCTCTTGGCGAGGGGAGGGGGGTCGGTAGGTTTGCGCGCGTCCGCGTGGGCTGGTTTACGGGGCGCGGAACCTTGGGAACCTTGTTCGCCTTGTCCAGTAGAAACCCAAGTCCACCATCCATTTTGATCAATACGGTAGGGGTATCCTTTCCAGTACTTGATCTCATTGTTGGGGGTGGTTTTGGTTCTTTTGGGTTTTTTCCTTTTTTTGGATGGTTCCGGAACCATTTGCTGAAGGAAACCAAGCACGGAATCCAAGGAATTGCCATGGTTAAGACACGTTTTGAGGGAGTTGATCAGAGTACGCATGACATTGTTGGTTTGTTTTCGCTGCTTGGCCCTGCGCTTGGCAGCAGCAGCGCCAGCAGCGCCACCTTGAACAGGGAGGTTTTTTATCCACTGAATTTTCTGACTGGTGAACCTTTCATCGGGTTGTGCGTGATCAAAATTGTCAGGATTTTCAGTGATGTTGATGTGATTTTTTCCGCTGTTGGCGCACAATGAACCTATCCTTGCGCGCATGAAGTCGGCGCTGGTGATACAAAGCACTTCGCTTGTTACGTGTGAACATGCGCGCGTGTTTTTTGCGCGTTCGAGCTACATACCTGCATTTCCTGGGTCCAAGGGGGAGGTGAGAAACCTTGGTCCTGGGGAAGCCTCTTTTAATTACGCGGGTATTCCTACGTCTTTTGCGCCGCGAACACCCAAGTTGCAACATAGTGAAACACGCTATGAGATAAATACCCCATAAGCTCCAAAAAGTTTTTTGAGGAGACATGTCCTTGGTCCACCTGCAAGCCAAAACGGCAATGTCCTCCAAGCCCCAGCTCTCGGACATGTCCTGCGGCAAGTGGTCAAAGTCCCCGATGTCCAAGCTCTTGAACGTGTTCGCCATAGCTCCCACCGCGGCCGAGCTGTGGGGAGCCCAGATCGGGCTAGTGTCGAAATGTGACGTGTTGTCACAGACCGAACGACGATCGAAATCGAGAGGCACAGACAAGGACACGGACGGTGACATGGACAGCAACAGCACAACCAGCCAGCCTTTTGTCCGGCCGCAGTGGCCCCGCTCTTTGGCCCCTGTGGCCCGTCCACTTTTTCCTTTTTCAACTTTCTTTTTCTTTTCTTTTGATTTACCTTGGTCGCAGTGACCTCGCTCTTTGGCCACTGTGGCCCGTCCACTTTTTTCCTTTTCATCTTCTTTTTTCTTTTGTTTTTTTGATTTTTCATGGTCGCAGTGACTCAGACCCCGCTCTTTGGCCATACTGGCTTTTATGTTGTTCCTAACCCTTTTGCACGCAATTCCAAGTTGCGCCCGCCAGCACCACGTGGAGGTAGGTCTTCGCTGGCTCATTTCTGGAATGCTGCGTGATTATATGATCTCCAAAACAGTTTCATCACCAGCTATGAATGGCGCACTTTGCAAAGTCAGCAGTGGACGGGATATGCCGAAGCTGTCACCGGCTTCTTGAAGATTGACACCGGCAATCTTGAAAGTATCCTGAAGATTTCTGGAAAACATGGAGTCTTCTTCATTGAACATCTTGCTCAGGCTCGGCCAAGTGACGTCATCGAATGGATCCCTCAAGAGAAGGACGAAGATGACATGGATTACTTTGCACGAGTGACTTCTGATGCACATACTAACATACCGTCGTCAATGACGCAGCCACTTGGGGCTCCGTATGCCCGAAGGTACTGTGTCAACAAGCACCAGAAAAGCCAATGTATGGGAAGCCCGCGGCGTTCCCAGCCAGTGGTCGACTGGCGTGCCGACCTCTCGGCTTACAAAGCACGCGGCTTGTTGTTCCGGGCGAAACATTCGACAAAATCATTTTGTTTTGCCTATGAAAATGCCAATGGGGAGATTCTCCCAGTTCTTCCACCATGTCAAAACTCCCAAGCAAACGCCGATCAAAGCTGCAGGCAAGCCAATGGGTCACGCAAACTTTTGGCACAGCTTGAATGGTGACAAGGGAGTCTCTAAACCAAAAGAAACGGTAGTTATTGCCGCATCCACTCAAAATGAGGAATCAATGCCCGAAGCACCGTCTGGCGAGACCGCGTCAGCTGCTGCTGGGGCTGAAATCAAAAGAACTGCACCGCAAGGCAGTTCTCCTGAGAAGAAACGTGCAATCCGGACATGACAACTCTGAAACCCATTTTCAAGGATTTGAATGCAAGAACTTGTACACTACCCTCTCCCGTACCCCCTGACAACATATTTAAGGATTTGACCATTTCTGGAATCCTTATTAGTATACTAATGATATATTATTAGTAATTATACTAATACGGAAAAATCATCTTTGTATGACCTCCTTAATGGTATATTATTAGCTTACTATAATAGACTAATAGTAGCTTAAACATAAGGCGCAAGTAAGGTCTAAAATCCATTACGCGTAATTTTGTATCGAATTCCTTATTAGGCACCTGGTCCAGCCCGCATCAAAAAAAGTCCCGGTTTTGTTATTTGTGTCCGAATAAGGATTTGTATCCCCAAATCATACAAACACTTAATAGGGTGCTATTAATGTGATTTCCATCCTTATTAGGGGACTATTAAGTTTTTGTATCCAAGCCTCGTGTTTTAATCAATAGTTCCCTAGCAAGGTAAAATCTCAGCCCTCCCAACCATTATTAGGTGGTGATGCCGGAGGAAACGGTGACTGTGGTTACCGTGCCCTTGCTGTTGCTTATGCGCGCCAAGATGCCAGAAGTGTCGAAGATGCTCTCAAAGCCGCCAAACCCATCGGCGCCACTTTGCGAGCTCAGATCACCTCGCACATTTCCAAGCACCACTTTGAAGAATTTTTTGATGGACTGTTGAACTCGAAGGCGGACCAATACCAACCACTTATTCTGAATGGGTGGAAGCCACTGCCCGCCCAAACAGGTGGATTGACGGCCCATGTCTTTCCACTGCTGCCACCAAGTTGCGTCGTAACATTGCCATTTGGAAGTGGGAAAATGACCAATGGGGCAAGCAGACCGTGATCACTCCTTTGCCATCCCATGAACAAAATGTGGATGATGCCACCAAATATCCTCCATTGCCGTTGTTCTTGGAAGATGCACGCGGTAGAACATTGAAACCAGGACTGGCTCCATTTCTCATGTCCTGGCACTATTGCCCATCTGACTCCAAGCGGGACGCTGGCAGCGCCAGAGTGCCAGAGGTGGAGGCACTTACCGAAGTTAGTTGCCGCCACCCTCGTGGCTCGCCAAATCGTATTGCAGCTGGCTGCCTCAATCATCCACAGCCAGCCCCAAAGCTAAATCAATTGCCAAGTCTTACAAAAGCTGGCCTCCGCCCAGTTCAGGGCCTGCATCGCCCGCTCGTGGCGTGGCCCGGCCGAAGCCCATGCCAAAGCGAGTTGCTCTGCTAAGAGTGTCCTGAAGAAGAAAGTTGCCAAAGCTCCGATGAAATGTCGAAAAGAACAAATCAGAGAGTACTAGCAACGTCAGCACAGTTGGAAATGTCCTGAGTGTGATGCTTGCTTCACAGGCACCTATGGCAGTGTCATGGGAAGCCCTCTCTTCTATGGGAAAACCAAACACCCGGAATTTCCCATGTCCGATATCCGTCGATCGGCTCCTACTGTCGTTGCAATCTCATACGGCTTGCCAGAAGACTAAACTGCATGGTCATGCCCATTGTGCCCAGCCCGACTGCCAAGCTTGTCGAAGCGCGATAAAATCAAAGCAATTCAGAAGCATATTGCAGATTGCCACAAAGGTGAAATTCCGATGAGCCTGTGGAATCGGAAAAGAACCAATGTCCAAAGAAATGGAAGTTGCCAGACTCCAGACCCAAAAACTTGCTGTCATGCGAAAAAAGAAAGTTCGTGGACACACGCCAGTTCAGGTGAAACCCACTGATTAATCAAACACAGAGTGGAAATTATTACTAGTGTTCCAAGTGCCTGAGAAGGGCAACAGTAATCACAATTGGGATCTCGCATGCCGACAACACCTTAAGAAACAAGCAAAGAAGGAGGACCGCTACTGCGGCATCAAAACAGCTTGGTGGCAGCGACTGCAAACCAAGCAGCCCCAACATGCCGCCAACCCCGCCAAAGCTGTTGGAAGAACCTTTGATCAGATCATTGCCATTTTTGCCAAAGCCAATCGTTGAAACTCAAAGCGGGAAGCACCGGCCGGTGCAAATCCGCAGGACTGTTGCCGGCCTGTTGGCATGCAGATTTAACTGCCCACGGGGACGTTCATCCCCACCCCGGGCCTGCCGTTCAGTTGCGGTCGTGCAACTGTGGCCGTGGCACAGGTGCCATGGAATTTTTCGAACATGCCAGAGCAAAAGGCATTCCAATTCTGGCCCATCCGAGAAGATGGTCTGAAACCTGGTGAAAGAGATCATTTCATCGACATGTCAATAAGCATCACTACCGCACGTTTGACGGGCCCAGCCGGATCCGCCACAAGAACGCACGGGGAGGTAATTATTTTGGTAAAAGGCAACTTACGATGCCACTTGATTAATCAACTTAGTGAAGATGAAGGCCAAGTTGTCACTGTCATGGTTGAACATATTGCCATTTCATGCCATTTCTAATTTGTATCAACCCCCGCAAGAAGGCAGACTGCCTGCAGCATGCCACATATTCGAAATCTTGCAGCTCCTGCCACCTGGCACACCATGGATCTGCGTTGGGGACTTTGTGATAGCCCTGATGAAAACGTTTTTGCTTTTCGAAGATGAAGCAATCGGATTGCAGTGTTGTTTTGTCGAAGGCGCACAAGGCGACGCTGTTTCGTCCAGATGGTCGAGCAACAGATGCAGCGACTACGCAGTCACAAACGCCGTGCACCATGTACAGCACGTGCGCTATGACATTGAAGCCATTTCAGACCATAAAACTTTTTTGCTGTAGTTTTCAGCTGCCGAGCCAGCCTAGGCTGGCTCCGTTGTTTCGTCTCGCGAGACATGGCGACTTGTCCAAGCCCGAGTCCTGTTCATTTGAAGATTGTCAATCGGCCTGTTGCGAGTTTTTGTCTGCAAACTCAACACCGCCGGAGCTAACCCACTGCACGACGCCAGAACCAAACCCAGCCACAAAAACGGTTGCATAAAGTTTTCTAAAGGCCTCCCTACTGTCCAAGGCAAGCTCGACCATGCCACTGACACATTTCGTATTCGCCATTTGCGAAATTTGTTAGCCAAGCTATGCGAATGCCAAAATTTTGAGACCCACGGTCGTCAAGGTTGTTTCGAGCAGAAATGCATTTTTTTATTCCTTTTTTGACTAAAATAGTTAATAGTCCTCAGTATGATACGAATTTATCATCAAGTCAAAACATTTAGAATGTCCAATGCCAGTTGAAAAAAGGAACGGGGTTCCCACCGGCAGACGCGAATCTCTCAGTGGAAAATGAAACTTCAACAGTCGTCCCGCCAGTGTTTCCGCGGGTTGAAAAATCCCCATGTCCAACCTTTTCGTGGTTTGATTTCCAACGCGCTCGACATCAAAAATGCAACATGCGACTTTCCTGAATCCTGAGAGTTGATCCGGGACCATTGGGGACTTGTGTGGCGAAGGGAATCATCCAATGCCAGTGCTGTTCTCAGGCGCATGCGGTATGAACTTGCACGCAAAAACTTTCCCATTCATGCCAGCGACTGAGATCCTTAGGCCCGGTCGAACTTGACACTAGAGCCAGATCGTTTGCAGGCAAGGCTCCCAAGGCGGCCACGGCCAGAATGCCTTGGATGGCCAAGAGTCAGTCATCCTAATGAAAGCACTTTTTTGCGTCCACGCACCTTTTTCCACAGATATCAACAGGATAATTGTCAAAAAAACTTGCCTACCTTTGGGTCTTCGGCCCCCGCTGTGGACATCATGAATGGGTTCCGCAGGCGGAAGATCAATTAAATTGTTACTCTTCCTTTCCTTACACATAAGTACAAAACAATGGTTCACGATAGGGCCCCCTAGAAAAAGATACCCTGTTTTTCAGCGAGGCAAAAATCATATAATTTTTTCTCACCAAAATTAAGCGCACCCCCCTCCTCTAAATGGTAAATCCCAGGGTCCTAGGGTTTGTTTTTACTATTAGGGTGTATTTAGTGTTCCGGGCAGCAGCTTGCACCTAATATCAAAAAACGTTAGTTTAAATAAACAACCAGTTCTTCGATTTCAACATCGATCAAGATTCTAAAATCTGATTCAGATATTGCCAAACTTGGATTTCCAAGCTTTCCCTTAATAATTACGGAACACTTTAACTAACAAACTAAAATTGTCAGTTTCAAAATCGATCAAATTGTTTTTAAAATAAAATATTGCCAAAGATTGGATTTCGAAACTTCCACCTAATATTACATTGACAACCTTAATTTCAAATTCTAAACTTTTGAATCTTGAAAGACGGGCCCTAATAAAAAACACCCTGGGGTTAACTAGATTTTATTCCGGGGTGGAACCTTCAAATGAGACCTTGATTTTTAAATTGTTTCCTAAAGGAGGCCAAACAAGAATCAAATTGACCAATTTGAATTTTCCCAAAACAAACAATCTGGGTATTTTGGTACTTGGAAAATTTGAGTAATAGGAAAAAGGGATCAAACACATAGAGTTTTGACCGCGGCTCATATCAACGCATGTGCATTGATAGAAATATTCATGTACAGCAGGTGTATATTTGGTGATAGAAAACAAAACATGTACGAACCAAACCACTGGAGAGAGAGACAAACCAAAGCAATTGTCGCAACATGTCGCACAAAAAAGTCATTCATTTTTGTTCCGGAACGATTTTTTAAACTCATTGCATCAGATCAGGGGCATCAAGGCCCACGAATTTGTACCAACGTCCCCAGGAACCAAAACCAACGTCCTGAGGTATCGACTGCATCGATGGATGCCGCTTCGCCCTGGTCTTCCCCATCGTGGTGGCTCATTTCGCGAGGTTTAGCACCAACAATTTGACGGCTCTGAAACTGTTGACACAGGAGATGGGACTAGCAGCCAGGGGAGATGCCGATGCTGGCTGGTCAGGTGATGTGTGGTGGGTTTTCATGCGCTTGAGCATGACTGCTGGAAGGCGTGCAGTTCATCAAGGGCATATATAATATAAATATATACTAATAGCATGAACAACGTTTCAAACCAGCCGGTAAATTGCAAAGCAAACTGCACGAGCAGACAACATAGGAAGAATTAAAGAGACAAACGATAAATACAAAAAAATGACATGAAGTCTAATACAGTACTCGTAGAATTAAATCCCCCTCAGATTGGATGAGAAAAAACAACGCATCTTGGTATTGTATGACATGGAATGAATTCAAGAGATCGATGAAGAGATGCAAACTAGCATCACATTGGGTTGCCCCATTTTGCGTGGCAGTGTCATTGCCCCGCGCTATTCAGCGTTCCCTGCTGTATGTTCTGGAATATTAAGGACATTACGTTGCCTTCCTACACCTGCCTTGCAGAACCATTCAGTACAAATCAGAATCACAATCACCATGCCAAATTGAACATGATAATGGAATCAACGTTGACATGGAATCTATGATAGATTTACCACCTTGGAATCTGGTGAGACACAAATGCGTGGATAGTTGCGGCATGTTGCGGCAGTTGATAGGCAATGGATGCCCAAGTCTTAGGAACATTGGGAACTTCTCAGGAGAACGTCCTGGTGGGTGGTTTTTTCGTGATCTCTGGCTATGTCACTGGGTGTGAAGAGATGTTGGTCCACCTTCAGAACTTCAGGGGTGTTCCACCACAGTTTTTTGGGGGTTGAAGTTTAGAATCAAAAGGATCAACACACCTCGGAACGCAGAGCAGGTGAAGCTTGTTTGGTTTTACACAAATATATCTATATTCGAGTTGAGTTATTTGCGTTGCTTCGATTTTGTGATTATTGGTAGTTGCATCTTTAGTTTTTCAACGGAATACGTAAATACATAAACCAAAGATCTTCGAGGCCAATCAAGACCAGATGGCATTAACATTGTCGAATCAGAGGGCAGAATCATGGAACTGGAACCCGTGTATTTGTTGCTGCAGCGTATCAGGGCCTGAATTACGATAATACGATATGATACGTGTATATATAAGAAACTACTAGTACATAGAATATAGAATTGAAAAAAAATTACGTTTTAGGGCATCTTCAGGAATTGAAAAAAAACGTATACATAGAATATCCCAGAGGTGTACATAGAATATTTTTTCAATTCTGGAAGATGCTTTTTTTTTGATTTGTTTGAATTATCAAAATTTCACCCATACTGCAGCATAAATGGAGATAAATGGACATTTGTCAAAATTTCATCCCACTATTTTTTTTTGAATTATCAAAATATCACCCATACTGCAGCATAAATGGACATAAATGGACATTTGTCAAAATTCCATCCCACTAAAATCTTTTGAATTATCAAAATATCACCCATACTGCAGCATAAATGGACATAAAGGGACATGTTTCAAACTTTCATCCCACTAAAATATTTTGAATTATAAAAAATATCATCCGTACTGGAAGGAATTGGGTCTCTTTCATGTATAAGGGTATATATTTTATATACATAATTCCCTTTGGGGAGCAGCAACCCTGGATGTCTGAAATTCCTCAACTAGAACGTTTCAACAGAAAACAGGTCCCCCGAAATGACCAATTTCCTTTTATAATGTTTTTAAACAAATATTTTTTCAAGCTCACTGAAGGGTACCCCCCACAACTGGTGTCGTAGAACTATGACAAAAACAATTTTGCAATGAACACCAACGGAAATGGGTGGTGTTCCTGGAAAAATGGATGAATATTTTCACTGGGGACCTATATTATATGTATGCAATTCTGCAAGGAATTGGGTCCTTGTCATGTATAATGGTAATTATATATTATATACATAATTCCCTTTGGGGAGCAGCAACCCTGGATGTCTGAAGTTCCTAAAACGTTTCAACAAAAAAAAACAGGTCCCCAGAAATGATCAATTTCTTTTTATATTGTATTTAAAAAATGAGTTTCTGAGGCTCACCGAAGGGGCCCCCCCACGACCGGTGTCGTAGAACTATGAAAAAATAATATGTTGCAATGAACACCAACGGAACTGGTTGGTGTTCCTGGAAAAATGGATGAATATGTTCACTGGGGACCTATATTCTATGTATGTAATTCTGCAAGGAATTGGGTCCCATTCATGTATAAGGGTATATATTATTTACGTAATTACCTTTGGGGAGCAGCAACCCTGGATGTCTGAAGTTCCTAAAACGTTTCAACCAAAAAAAAACAGGTCCCCCGAAATGATCAATTTCTTTTTATATTGTATTAAAAAAATAAGTTTCTGAGGCTCACCGAAGGGGCCCCCCCACGACCGGTGTCGTAGAACTATGAAAACATATTGTTTTGCAATGAACACCAATGGAAATAGGTAGTGTTCCTGAAAACATTGATGAATATTTTCACTGGGGACCTATATTATATGTATGCAATTCTGCAAGGAATTGGGTCCTTGTCATGCATAAGGGCAATTATATATATATATATACATAATTCCCTTTGGGGAGCAGCAACCCTGGATGTCTGAAGTTCCTAAAACGTTTCAACAAAAAAAACAGGTCCCCCGAAATGATCAATTTCTTTTTATATTGTATTAAAAAAATTAGTTTCTGAAGCTCACCGAAGGGGGCCCCCCACGAACGGTGTCGTAGAACTATGAAAAAATAATATGTTGCAATGAACACCAACGGAATTGGGTGGTGTTCCTGGAAAAATGGATGAATATGTTCACTGGGGACCTATATTCTATGTATGTAATTCTGCAAGGAACTGGGTCCCTTTCATGGATAAGGGTATATATTATATACGTAATTCCCTTTGGGGAGTAGCAACCCTGGATGTCTGAAGTTCCTAAAACGTTTCAACAAAAAAAACAGGTCCCCCGAAATGATCAATTTCTTTTTATATTGTATTAAAAAAATGAGTTTTTGAAGCTCACCTAAGGGTTCCCCACGACCGGTGTCGTAGAACTATGGTAAAAAAACTGCTCTACCTTGAAAACCAATGGAATTAGGTGGTGGTCCTCAAAAAATTCATGAACATTCCCCTGGTTTTCATGGTCTTTCACGGTTGGTGTCAAAAAATATAGCTTCCGATGTCCCCCGAAATGATCAATTTCTTTTTGTATTGTATTCAAAAAAATGAGTTTTTCAAGCTCACCTAAGGTTACCCCCACGACCGGTGCCGCAGAACAATGAAAAAAACCTACTTTGCAATGAAAACCAATGGAATTGGGTGGTGTTCCTATAAAAAAAAGTGAATCTTCCCCTTGAGACTTATATTCTATGTATGTAGTTCTGCAAGGAATTGGGTCTCTTCCATGTATAAGGGTATAGATCAACTCCTTTTGGGGAGTAGCGACCCTGGATGTCTGAAGTTCCTGAACTGGAACATTAAAAAAACACCAGGTCACCCGAAATGATAAATTTCTTTTTATATTGTATGCAAAAAAATGAGTTTTTCAAGCTCATCTAAGGTTACCCCCACGACCGGTGCCGTAGAACAATGAAAAAAACCTACTTTGCAATGAAAACCAATGGAATTGGGTGGTGTTCCTATAAAGAAAAAGTGAATCTTCCCCTTGAGACTTATATTCTATGTATGTAGTTCTGCAAGGAATTGGGTCTCTTCCATGTATAAGGGTATAGATCAATTCCCTTTGGGGAGTAGCAACCTGGATGTCTGAAGCTCCTGAACTGGAACATTAAAAAAACACCAGGTCACCCGAAATGATAAATATATTTTTGTTTTGTTTAAAAAAATGAGTTTTTCAAGCTCACCTAAGGTTACCCCCACGACCGGTGCCGCAGAACAATGAAAAAAACCTACTTTGCAATGAAAACCAATGGAACTGGGTGGTGTTCCTATTTAAAAAAAAGTGAATCTTCCCCTTGAGACTTATATTCTATGTATGTAGTTCTGCAAGGAATTGGGTCTCTTCCGTGTATAAGGGTATAGATCAATTCCCTTTGGGGAGTAGCAACCCTGGATGTCTGAAGTTCCTAAACTGGAGAACATTTCAGGAAAAAAAGGTCCCCTGAAATGATCTATATTGTATTAAAAAAATGAGTTTTTTAAGCTCACCTAAGGGAACCCCCACGACTGGTGTCGTAGAACTATGATAAAAAACAACTAGTTTGCAATGAAAACCAATGGAATTGGGTGGTGTTCCTATTTAAAAAAAAGTGAATCTTCCCCTTGAGACTTATATTCTATGTATGTAGTTCTGCAAGGAATTGGGTCTCTTCCATGTACAAGGGTATAGACGGTATAGATCAATTCCCTTTGGGGAGTAGCGACCCTGGATGTCTGAAGTTCCTGGACTGGAACAAAACACCAGGTCACCCGAAATGATAAATTTCTTTTGTTTTGTTAAAAGAAATTAGTTTTTCAAGCTCACCTAAGGTTACCCCCACGACCGGTGCCGCAGAACAATGAAAAAAACCTACTTTGCAATGAAAACCAATGGAATTGGGTGGTGTTCCTATAAAAAAAAGTGAATCTTCCCCTTGAGACTTATATTCTATGTATGTAGTTCTGCAAGGAATTGGGTCTCTTCCATGTATAAGGGTATAGATCAATTCCTTTTCGGGAGTAGCGACCCTGGATGTCTGAAGTTCCTGAACTGGAACATTAAAAAAGCACCAGGTCACCCGAAATGATATTTTTTTTTGTTTTGTTAAAAAATGAGTTTTTCAAGCTCACCTAAGGTTACCCCCACGACCGGTGCCGCAGAACAATGAAAAAAACGTACTTTGCAATGAAAACCAATGGAATTGGGTGGTGTTCCTATAAAAAAAAGTGAATCTTCCCCTTGAGACTTATATTCTATGTATGTGGTTCTGCAAGGAATTGGGTCTCTTCCATGTATAAGGGTATAAATCAATTCCCTTTGGGGAGTAGCGACC